AATTGACACAGTTTAAATGTTTTATTCTTTCTTTTCCTGAAAAACTGATTATACTGATATGTGCTAAAATTGTGTAATTATATTAGTTCCATCCATCTCGCTCCTCCTATCCCCACCACTCGCATGCCTTCATCTTTGGTTCCTAATGGATTGCATAGTGTGGTGGTCAAGAGCGCAGGCTTTGGAAGAAGTGACCTCTTTTTGATTCCCACCTCCACCACTTACTCTCTGTTGATTTGGGGCAATTTATTTAAACTTTTAAAGCCACAGATTCCTCACTGACAAAAGTAAGCTTGTGATATGAAACTCCAAATGTTATCCTAAGAATTTTAAAGTATTAGCACTGTATGTGACACAGAAGAAACATGTAATACAGGTTTGTTAGCAGTTTTTACTATCAGGCCTGGCTTGTAAGGACAACAGATGACAATGTTTGGCAATGTATTCAGAATACTTGCTTGGTTCCTGGATCATCTCTTAAGGATATTTGCCAGTCAGAGTACAAACGTCACCGATTTAGCTCTAACTGAAGTTATATTTCCATTTATTCTCCAATTTATAATTACTCAGAGCCCCCACTTGCACATTGCCTACCAGTTCTGTCTGAGTTACCACTGCTGCTTCTTTGATATTCAGAATCGGGACTCTCATGTCCTTTGGCTTATGTCCTCTAATTCTGCTCTTACTGTCCCCTTGTGACAGGACCACCCCTATGCTGGATATGGACATCCTTAAGAGTATCTGTTTCTGCTACACCACTGTATCTTTAGAGGGGGTGCTGCAAACCTCCATCTGCCTTCATTGTCTGATGCATAAAGCATGCTCTTTCCTTAATTCTCCACAGTATCTTTAAATCCAGATTGTAAGATTTTAAATGATTTCATTAAACAGCAAGGATGATGGAAAGGAAATATTCTGGTTCATCCAGAGGGTCACTTCCTTTCTAGTCTATAATTTCTTCCCACCCAGTAGAGATTAGTTCACCCTTTTCAGCAGGAATATTTTGAGTACCTAGGCTTTAGAGTCCAAGACCATCCATGTCATATTCCAGAGAGGGGAAGAGTATCTTTCTTTGTTAGAGTAAGGATTTATTCCAGGCCATATTCCTGGCACAGTAATGATCTACTCCCAGTTGACTGACAATAGTCATTGACCATTCCCATGATGTAAAACTCTACCTGTGCCAAATGAAGTGGGGTCTTGCTTTATAGCCCCGCTAAGACATTGACATAGACCAATGCAGTTCAACACCAATATGTTACAGATTATTTTATCTTAAATATCATAAGAGCAACCCAAGTCAGGCTAGAAATCCAAAACTTTTAAACAGTCTGCCTTCCAAGCAAGACATAAAAATCACATCAGCATCATCTTCCTCCAATGCTTACCTGTCTCATCTCCTGTAATTATCTGCTCAACAAAGAATAAAACCAACTCCACAAAAACTAGCACTATAAATTTATAGGAGCCAAGAGATAGTTCTCCACATTAGCCACTCTTTCACATCTCCTTCCTTCCTTTCCTCCCACTGCCCTGCCCCAAAATAGCAAGGAAATTTCAGGGTCTTGACTCCAGCTCAGCCATATCCAACAATTTCTATTACTGAACGAAGCGCAGAGTTTCTCAGCTAACACCTCGTGTATCCTATAAGGAATGGTATCTGCAGTTCATGTGTAAACATGGCTCTACTGTGCTGGCATTTGCCATGCTATGATTTGAGACCTGTGGTCATTTTCACAAACAACATAGCTCCACAAAACCACCTTGGGTTTGTTGACAGTCCACAATACTACTACTACTGCTTTTTTCCCCCCTATTCTTTCTTTTCTTTTGGGCCGGGCGCCGGGATGCCAAGCAAATATTCTGCTTCCCTGACTTCAAATTCATGCCTTCAGCTTGAGGACCTATTATTAATAGTGTCTCTACTCCATAAATATGGTTTTTCTTGTTCATGGAGAGATTTCCTTCTTTATTTTCATGATTGATACTTGTCATTTATTCAAAACATAGTTTGTTCCATAAGTACGCATCATGGCACTGAAATAGGGACATGGAACCTAGAGAACTGACTTTTGGCAAGTCTTAGACAAGAACAGTGGGAGTACTGTAAGTCACTTAAACTCTGCTTCGATTTCCTCCACCACAAAATGGGCTGGATACTCTTTGTCGCGGCAATATTTTCTGACTAATACCTGAAGTTCCATTATCCGTAGAAGGGAAAACTGCTCTTCCCTCAATTCCCTTTGCTTTAATCTATGAGGCTCACTCCTTACAACTTGACCTTCATAAAGCAAAAGTTGGGGTTCTGTAAAGCAAGTAGGCTGCCCAAATTGAGAGGAGATGTCGGGTGAGCCTTGCTTCCTCATCTAGAGGACAGCCACCATAGTAGAAGTCAGCAAGCTCAGGGACTGTAAACAATTCCAAAGGTCGATAGATTGCTTTGTAATCACCACAGTGTCAATTGGTAGAAGAATTAAAGGTATATTTTCTTGTTAATTTTAGGAAAGCCACTGATATTTGTGTGGCTAACTTCTCTTGATCTGCCAGGGGCTATTAGGCTACCTGCATAAAACATAGGCAAGTTAAAAACATCAAATGGCTCCCTAACCCTACTTCCTGAACTCCTCTTTCCTTTTGTATTCTCCATAGAAAGCAATAGTTCTGAATCCTGAAAAAAAAAAAAAAATCCACCATTCTCCAGGAATTCTGATTCAAATGTTCTGGGGTGCATCCCTAGCATTGTTTTTTGTTTGTTTGTTTGTTTTTTAAAGTTTCCAGGTGATTCTAATTAGAGCCGTGGTTGAGAACCACTGTCCTGGAGCCTCCCCACTTTCCCTTTTCTAACCTACAATGCTGTGTGTTTCCTACATGCAGTCCCATGTGAAGGTGGCGGTGTACCCCCATCTCCTTTGGGTCTAGAATATAGGAGATACACAGCAAAAGTTTATGAAAGGAAGGAATAAATGAAGAAACAAAGGGTAAAAAGAAAAAACAGTAGACAACAGGGGGTGAGGATAATGGGACGGGTAGGAAGGGATGGTAACAATTTGTCTCTTGTAAACCTTAAGCCTACAACTCTTTCTACCCTTAAATTTTCTCCATGACAGAGCACTTCAGAGTTATCTTGCCACTACTTAAAAAAAGAAAAATACTGCTTTCATTCTGGAATTCCTGTGTAAATGGGCCCAATGTAATTTTTTTAGACGTTGCCATGGGGAATAATATTTTTCTTCTTCTGAAAGGCTGAAGGGAAGACAATGACCGAATGAGAGAATGAAAACCTGCACAACTGGGTGGCTTTCTGCTTATTCTAGGACCTCATCTATCCACGCCCTGACTGCAATGTGAAGCCCTGCTTTTTGAAAAGGCACATTTGACTGTGTTGGAAAGAACAGCGCAGCAGTAAAATCAGTGGCATATCTACCCAAATTGTATATTTTAAATTGATAACCCTCCTCTGAGAATAATTTCTATTATGTCAAATGCACCCAGAGTAAAGACTTATTCATTTATGACCTGGATTGGCTAGACATGTTCTCATTAAATTGGATTGCATTTAGTATATGTGGAAAGGGCAGGTCTAAGTGATTAAAGGGTGCTTTTCATCATGAAAGAACACATTTTAGAGGACCACAGTTGCTGGCAACTATGAAAATTTGATTCCATTCAAGGGGAAGATAATCCTGAATACAACAAAATGTTGAACATTCATGACAAGCAGCTTTCTTTGTCTCCTGCTGCGTATGACAGGATCAGAGAGAGTCCTAGGTTATGGTGCATTTGAGCAAGGACCCTGAATTATCTGCACCACTCTACTGGAGGTGGCCATTAGCTCAGGCTGGCTCAGCAAGGATGGAGGAGCAGGTCACATGAACGGCAGTATAGAATAATGTCTGGGAGCGCAGAGTTTGGGGTCAATCATCCTCTTACTAGTTGAGCCTCCACTGAAAGAGAGAGGGAGCGAATGAGCAAGCACTGAGCTGGGCTGAACTAAGAGGGGCTTCCATCTTAATGGTAGTAGGCCTCACATCATTTTAGGAAATCTTTTCACATCAGAGGCAAACACCTATGACTGTTATTAAACTTCCGGTCATTAGTGATAACTATATGGAAAGTAAGTTATAGTTCATAAGAACTGTAAATGCTGACTATTTATCCAGTAATCAAAGTATATATTCTACTGAGAAAAATACTCAGCAAGTCATATATAGCAACAGCAGATGCTGCCCATAGCAGCAAGTTTCTGTGAATTATCTGACCGTGTAAGAGTTGTAGAGCAGCATAATCACAAGAATATTGTCTCATTAAAGCACAGCTCCTAGATGCTTTGCCGTGGATAAATTTCATCTTTGTTTATACACTATCCTTCCACTCAACTTGTGTGGGACACTGCCCCCAACTTTGGATTAGAAAGAAATGAGTTCTAATTCCAACTCTGCTGTGTTGAAAAAGTTCCTTACTTCGTATGTTCTTCAATGTGGGGATCTATCCCGGGAAGTGGACAGAGAATTGGATTTGAAGTTGTCTCTTAAGCCTCAAAAGTCCTTCTGATTTGTCATAGGATTTTTCACTCCCTGAAAGGTTTATAAAAATATTTGTTTTTCAAAACAAAGATCACAAATACAAGAATTTGCAAGGTTCACAGCTGAACAATCACATTAACAGAATGGCAGGTTAACCTTGTCTAGACTTAATTATGAAGTCGGTAAGAGTCCGTAATTGTTGGAGAATTTGTGAAGCTGAAAATCCTAAGTTTAAGCTTCATACACTGTTTCAGAACAGATGGCAAGTTAAGGTTATATCATAATCAAAAATCATTCACCTTTGAAGGAACTAATATAGTGGAGAATTATTGCCAACATAGTCCAGAAACATGATAGCTCATTCTTTAAGGTTCTCCCCCCAACTATTTCTGGTTAACGTTTTAAGAATGAGTGTGCATTTAAATGCAAAGATGTCGTCTTCTATTAAATATTCAACTGCCATTTGCCAGTAATCAAATCTTCACGCTCAAGTAATGTTTATTAAGTGCCAATGTGTGTAGTGTGGTATAGATACTACATAGAGTTAAAAAAAAATTGGCACAAACATAGGTGTTCATATAAATAGATAGACAAGCAAGCATAAAATTCTTCAACAAAGAGAAATGTGGCAATGCCAGGCAAGAACCCAAGCTAATAAATGAATAAAAAGTATAGTAAAAATGTTTAACAAGTTCCTACTTGTAAAGCTTTCTTGCATGACACATATATGTTTTTAGGTTATATATATGGGCACGTTTTACCATTTCTCTCTTAGGATGTTCTCCCTGTTAAGAATTTTTAGCAGCTGCTTTTTACTAAAGACCTTGAGAGGGTTTTACTGCCCTTTCATTATACATAAGCTTTAGTGCTCAGATTTTTATGACATTGGGTGGGTAAGTAACTCTTTGGGAATAATGGTCATATAAGCTCTCTTTGAAAAAGAACTACCAACTGATTTTTGTCTTCTGCCTGTTCATAATTATTTTGAACCCCTCTAATTAATGTAATTATCACAACTCATGCATTTACATATTCATTCATTAATCCATTCATTAATTCCTACATTTATTTAACAAATAATCCCTATCCTAACTGCCAAAGCTCCACCTTAGAAAATTCTTGCTCTCTGCTTTCAAGAAGCTCAATCTTGGGGGTGGGGGAGGGGGCAGATGGATATCTGAAGAGGCATTAGTATGTGAAAGGTGTCCTAAAGGTGGTATGGGACTGGGTGTTGTTAGACCAAAGAGGAAAGGCCACCTAAATGCCACTAATAGTCTCACCAAACAACCAAACAACCCAAATGAGCTGTGTATTAGCCAACAAAATATGCTCTTTCCACAACATGTCCAAAATAGAATCAACTAAGTGTAATTAAACCCAGAAGAGTTCTTTTGTACAGTTCATATGTTCTAAAAACCATTGTTTTCCTATCATACGGCCCCAGGCTTTCCTCAGCTGATAGGAGAGATCTTGTTACTCCAAAATAGAGTAGATACCATGCCTCATGTTGAAGAAGCATCAGAAGTTGGCTGCTGTCAGAATCATCTGGGGGAAATGGAATTGTCAAAAATACAAATCCAGGGGCGCCTGGGTGGCTCAGTTGGTTAAGCGACTGCCTTCGGCTCAGGTCATGATCCTGGAGTCCCGGGATCGAGTCCCACGTCGGGCTTCCTGCTCGGCGGGGAGTCTGCTTCTCCCTCTGACCCTCTTCCCTCTCGTGCTTTCTGTCTCTCATTCTCTCTCTCTGAAATAAATAAATAAAATCTTTAAAAAAAAAATACAAATCCATAAACTTCTCTGCTGGATATTCTGATGTAGTTGGTCTGGGGTGAGGCTTAGAAATCCTTTTTTTTTTTTAACATGGGTCCCAGATAATTACATTTATTAGCTAGATTTGGGGAAATAGCCCTAAATAACGTTAGGATTTATAGTAATTTATATATATACAACATGAAAAGGCAGGGGGAGGGTATATAATTCCTTCTTTAACACTTTAACACTTGCTTTTATAAAACTTCAGTTTAATCCAAAACCCCCAAGGCCTTAAACTGAAGGCCTTAAAGCTATGGGGAATAACTTTTAAAGGCAATGGAAAATAGAGGACATTTTAATTTGTAATATTTTATAATCATGATTTTTCCTATCCAAAGTGTCTCTTCTCTCCTAACCTAGGCTTCCTTTTAAAAATAATTCCACCATGAGCCTTTTAACTATTTTACATGGCTAATTAAATGTTACATGAAATAATTTATTTGAGGAAGATACTAATACTTATCAAGATATATGCCATCATTTCATAATGCGCTTTCAGATACCCTGATGTCCTTCACCTCTCAACCTCTGCTCTAGTGGGCTAACTCTCTACAAGCCCCGTTACCACATCAGATCCTATGCTTTAGTGGGCAGACCTCACCTTAGAGCTGGTTGATTTAGTCCTTATATTCAAGTCCTAAGAATTGAACTTTCCTGTCCTGGCTTGGTCAGATGGACACTAATAGGGTGGTGCTCTACTAAACAGATCTTTAATAAAACATAGCACTTTTTAGAATCTCTTTGCCTCTGTGGGGTCACTTAAGTAGCAACAGGAACACAGGCACATATTACCTTATGTTTTAAGTCTACAGTAAGAACTGAGAGTCAGTCCTTTGTGTCTCAACCTGTTTCAGAGGCCGTTCTGCCATAAAGGAGACTTGACATGAGTTCTCTCACCCTCCCTTTCTTCTGCTGCAAAATGCCACCTTTCCTCTGACCCTCAACCAATGAATGCCTCAGGGAGATTCCACCATATCTCATCATTTTCAGTTACTGAGTCGCAATGAGGATTCTGACTCCATTTTTTGATGTTTGATGCTAATAACTTTTAAGCCTTGCCTTCACTCTTCCCTTTATGCCGCCCATCTGGGTGCGCTGATAAGGAACCCTAGGTACTTTGTCCTTTGGCACTCCGAAGGGAGATTACTATCACACAAGCCCCTACATGCACACAGGTAGGCCCAGCCCCACTCCCAACTACAATAAAAACTCAGGCCAGTCTCCTTTTCTGGCTCCCTCAAAGAACTCTGAACCTCAATAATGTAAGTAATGAATGTTTTCATACCTTCTTGATGTGTGTGTGTTTGGTGTCATCACTCGACATCACAACTAACAGAGGGGAGGGCAGGAGGGAGTCCGTTGGCCTTTGCAGATGACCATAACAAGAATCCTATCTAGTTCACTTTAAAACTCCAATCTCATATCTGATTTAAAGTGATATCCAACACCGCTGAGGTTTTAGTTCTAGGACACTAACGAGAGTGTGTGTGTGTGTTTCTGCAGGCATGTGTGTCTGTATTTCTATGTATGTGCATGCACACACATGCATGACACACATGTGGTCCTTTGCTCCTCCTCCCACCTCCATCCTCAAGGTAGGACTGGCTAGGAGGTTTTATCCTGGGGTCATTTGTTCTCCTTCCTTTACAAAACCTAACTTCAGTGCTCGCTTCGGCAGCACATATACAAAACCTAACTTCACTCATGACAGGTGCCAAGAGAAGGAATAGGGAGGAAAGGACCAAAGCCTGTTTGTTACCTGGGCATGTGATTGAAATTCTGTTGCTATTTGCCCCTGCTTCTCTGGCTAAGGCCTCAGTGCCATCTGCACGATAGGTGTTCAAATGCTGGCTCTCTCATGAGACACATCTGTTGGTTCTACAAATTCCTCCCGGTTGCGTGATTCCATTTTCATTCCCTTTTTTTCCTACTCTCAACAGTATTGCATAGCATTTTTGCTTCTCGGGTCATCTTGGGTGGTAGGCATCTCTCCTCCGATGGCTATAGGAAGAAGACTCAAGCTGAGCTACTTTTTGCAATGCCATAGGAAGCATATGTATCCTTACCATGCCAAGGGTAGGAGTGCAGATGACTCTACTGCTCACTCAGCTCTATTAGTTGTGACTGTGCCAGATGCAATAATATTCACCTAATATTCCATGTGCTTCCCTTTATGTCCCAGTCCCTTCTGCACTTAGGGAGGACATGTGCCTAGATTTGACCAGTGGTCTAAGCAGAAATTCCATGTGCTATATCTGGTCAGAGGCAATTAAGAGAAGGTATGAATTCTCTGTACTCTCCTCTCTTTCACTGGCCACTCGAAGGCCACATGCTAAGATGGCAGCATCACAAGGTGGCTCAACCTGGAACCCCAAGCAACTGTGTGGAACAGGCTCCCTCACCAATCATGAGAGACATAGAGTGTGCACAAGAAATAAATCTTTGTAATTTAATCCACTGAGATTTGGAGGTTTAATTTGTCACCACAGCAAAACCTACCTTCCTATCCATCTAGCATTCTATCTAGGCAAATATTTATATATAATTATTTTGTATATAGATAGTTATTGATATGAATTTACATAAATATATACATATTATCTTTAGTTATGTGTTCCATATATGGTAAGAATAAGTTATTATATACATTATATAAATAGTAACTGAATGTTTTATACAATAATATATTCAGTATTATAAAATATAATATACACTAACATAATAAATATTATTAATAAAACAAATAAATAACTTAAAATAAGCACTGTCTTAAATCAGGACTATCATTAGTTAGAAAGTAAGTAAATTAGTAATTAGTACATGACTATCACACCCGTTGCAAAACAGACATCAGAGCACACACAGAAAAGTGACTCACTGTACAGTTAATTCATAAGTGATACACAAGACAATTTTTAACACTTGGAAAAGAGAGGCATCTAGAAAATGAAGATGATAACACATCACATCCACCACCTCTATCTGTAAGACAGAGCCCAAAGTGTAAAAGTCTCAGGGAGCTGCCAACTTACTACGTAGGAGAGGCTGCCCTCCTCTCCGTGGGAGAATGGGGCCCAGAAGTTGTGTGAAATTCAGTATTCTGATCTAAAAATGTGGGTCTGCAGACAAGAAGTAACAAGAGAACAAGGCTGTGTTCTGGTGAAGTGGCACTCAACACCTAGAAAGGAGACAGCAAAGTTAGTTGTCAGCCTAGGGCATCTGCAAAGTAGCAAGAACACAGCTGTAGTTAAATACAGTAAATTAGTTTGCAATGAGGAGCTTGCCTCCTGCAGAAGGCTGGAATCCTGTTTAATATTTGTATTTAAAAAGGCATCATATTAGAGAATGTATTTTATTAAAACGCACATGAAAATAGTCACTCCAAAAAAGATTAGTGCCAAAGGAGATACCTCAACATTTCACTTTTGTTCTCGCAGCTCTGACTCCACTGTCCCCTCCAAATGTGGGGAATGTAGCCATGTTTCTCAAGAACTGGAATGTAGGAAACATCACCTCTTCCTATCCCTGCCTTATTCCCTTTTAAGCTCTAGAGTAGTGAATAATCATTTACCAATAAGACCTTTGGAATAGCATTCATTTCAATATGGTTTCCTTCACGAAGTTACCTTCAAGAGCTGTGAAAGGTCTGAGATTTTTCCCATTTGCAAGCTAACAGGTTATCCTGCCGAGTTTCGTGGATGACGGCAGAAGACCCAAAACTCCTGGGTCATAGATGAAGGGCAGTTTATAACTCGCAGCAACAGCAGTAGCTAGAGTATTGGCATTTTTGCGGTAGTTCCACGAAGCCCAATTCCCACAGGGTGACGTGAAGAAAGCAAGAAGATACCGGTCCACGCAGAGGGTTGCATTACAAGAGAGGAACCCGGAGGTTGGGGAACTTGAATCTTTTATAATGAGCACTAGGCAGGCCTTCCCTTTATTCCAGAGGGAGACATCATCTTTATTATATTGGACAGGAAGTATGCCTGCCCTTTACTCCTGAGGGAGACACTCTCTCTACTAACACTCTTCTATATATAAATATCCTTGAAAAGACAGCCTGAAACAAAGGGCAGGAAATGCCTCGCTCATGAGATGTGCAGAAACACAACAGATGCATACAGAGTTGTCTTCCAGACGTTGTTGAGAAAAATATAAGATCTAAAAAGTTTTTGGAAGCAAAAGATAATACAGAGGCTTGTGGGTTGTACTTCAGTTAGCAACCCAGCCCACCATCAAACCAAATGATGACATTTGAGGCCTGCTGAATGCTGGTCTGCCTTAGTGAACGAAAGCTAAATACCCTGGACAAAGAATGAGAAAGAACTTTAATGCCCTCTTCCACTACCCAACTCCATGCACATAAACAATAGAATATAACTTTTTTGAGAACTACGTCTGTCTTATTCACCGCTATATTCTCCAGTTCCTAAAATAGTGCCCAGCCTATAAGAGGCATTTAATATTTACTGATGAGTGGATGAATGAGGGTAACTTCATTACTTTTCAAGGATAGTGACAGTAACATACATTTTTCTGATTAAATCACGATAGAAGTAAGTTCATCTGATTAAACCAGGAAGTAGGTGAAATACAGCTTGGAAGTGCCATATTTCTATATAGCTCTTCAGAGTTTAAAAAGAGTGAATTCTTTGAATACATATAATTTTCCTTGAAGGTGTATGCGTTTGATTTTCTTTAACACGAATATAGAAAGGTCTCTATAGTTTTGCTGTGTTTATGAACAGATGGAAGTAAGGCAGTGAAAAGGGGTGAATGTGGGAGGGATTGGACAAAACCACAGCGTTTTGGTTTCTCTGTGTGAGATCAGTGAGTCATCGAGGTTATAGAAAGTAGAGAAGTTTCAAGTATACATAACCCCTCTCTGAAGAAATAAAAGAGATGACCATGGGGAAGAAAAGGGCACAATAAAGAAGAGACAGTTCCCTAAACTGCCATCAGGTGGTTCCGTGATCCCAACAGCCTGGTTATCCTATAGAATGCTCTGAGTGAGGAGGAGGGGCTGTTCTTAAGCCTGAGAGGAGTTGACAGCACAAGGAGGAAAAACTCAATTCCCTTTTATACAGAATATACTTTCCTGTAGTCGCACCTCAGCTAATTCCCTCACAGCTGGTTAAGAGATGCCACCTTACTGCCAAACCAGGAAATACCAACTCAGGATTTACTGTTTGTGATTTACCACAGGTTCCCAGGAGCCAATTGTAGGAATAGTGTATAACAACATGCCAACTAAGGGAGGAGCAAATGGAAAAGGAAAAGAATCCTTAAAATCAATAATGAGGCTTTTCTTTATTTTTGTTGTGTTGTTTGCTTTGAATTAAGATCAATATACCTAAAAAAAAGAAGATAAGTACTTTAATCAGTGTCTGTAGGCAGAAAATACTGCTGCATTTAGGCAGAGTCCAATCTCAAGTTCTATAATCTATATTCATTTAATATCATGAAGAGTAGTTGAAGCTTATCATCTAAAATGTGAAGTTATAGGGCTGCCTGGGTTAGTCGGTTAAGTGCCTAACTTTTGGTTTTGGCTCAGGTCATGATTTCATAGGTTGTGGGATGGAGCCCTGCACTGGGTTCCATGCTCAGCAGGGAGTCTGCTTGAAGGTCTCCCTCTGCCCCTCTCCCCACTCTTGCCTGTGTGTGTGTTGTGGCGGGGGAGGGTGGGGGCATTACCCCAAAGGTTTTATGCAGATTAAGCTTCCCTAACACTCAGAAAAGTAAGTGCTACAGACTTACCCCCAAGATCATTTGAAGGTTTAATTATTCATATTTATTCTATACTGATTTTAGTTTTGGGAATATTTAATAATGAATTATTGATTTTAATTGAGTCAGCTTCTCTGAGTGAAGGTGCTAAAGGCTAAAACAAAAAACTAAAATGTGCTATGCAACATGTACAAAACTAAATAAATAAGAAAGACCTTTGAGGTCTATATCTGGGCTCATGTAAGGCAAACACATTCTATAGGAAAGATGGATTTGAGAACATATGTGATCCTGAGTATAGATGTCAGGGTACAAGCAAAAATTCCAGGTAGTTTTGCAGACTTTCCAGGCAGCGGAACTGGTAAGACCGAACTCAAGGACTCCAAACAGTAAAGGGGGACCCAGGTAATATATGGGCTATACGTGGAACAATTAGAAAATTTCATTAAGGTAGCATGTATGATATGATGAAAAGGTGTTGGAAAATAGGATGGCAGGGTAGGGCAGAGACCTGAAGGACCTAGGAGGGGTAGAGGGGTCTTCTGGGATAGTGGGTGGGGGAGGGGTGTGGACACACCCTCTTCAGTTGCCCCGCTTTGTGACTCTTAAGTGGTCTGTGATATAAGCTTGGGGAGGATATATATTCAGCCTCTGCACACTTAAGAGCTCAGTTGCCTACAGGCAGCCTTGCGATTCAGACAATGGAGTTCAAAAACTGGAATGTTCTCTCATGTCTGAATACCTATACTGAACCATGTCTGAGCTTCAGCTCAACATGGTTAGAGACTGACCCCAACTTCACCTTCCTGTGTGGGTTGGGATTGCTTCTTCTGTTCCTGTGCTACCTGATGCTTCCATTTCCAACTTGGAAAACCAAACCCACCCAAAAGGTAAGGAGCCCTCAACACAGATTATTATGGTTTCCATTTCTAATCCCAAGTCTTATTTATTTTAAAAATTTTATTTATGTATTTGATAAATAAGAGAGAGCCCAAGTTGGGCAGAAGGGGCAGAGGGAGAGGGAGAAGGCTCCCTGTGGAGCATAGAGTCTGATGTGGGGCTTGATTCCCAGGACCCTGGAATCATGACCTGAGGTGACGGCAGATGCTTAACTTGACCCTTAATCCCAAAATTTAAAATGAGTTTGGTAGGATCAGAGAAACATCTAAAATGGGAAGTCTAAGAGAACAGACATTCGCTCCTCTAGGACAAGAGGTCTGGCAGGGCTAAGGGTTAAGGAAGGCCTAAGGTTTCTACTTCAAATTCACAGGCTATCTGGTAAAATCCCAAACACAGGGATTCTGTAGTCCTTATTTAGAGAGTATGGAATCTGTAAGAGAACGTTTCCCAGCATTTGATCATAAGTCACATTCCCATGTCAGGCATCACTCGATCAAGCCTTCCTTCATGTTGGGCTGATCAGGAGAACGGTGCTGAGCCTCTGAGAAGAGACTGGGGTCTGAGCCATGTCCTAGGATACAGGGTCCTCCTGAGGGAATACAGATGTGACTGTTGGACTTCATTTTCTTTTTTCTTTTTTTAAAGATTTTATTTATTAGAGAGAGTGAGAGAGAGCACAAGTCAGGGGGAGGGGCTGAGGGAGAGGGAGAAGCAGACTCCCTGCTGAGCAGGGAGCCCAATGTGGGGCTCGATCCCAGGGTCCTGGGAGCATGACCTGAGCCAAAGGCCAACGCTTAACTGACTTTGCCACCCAGGCACCCCGGACTTCATTTTCTATGTCCTCACTGAACAAAGGACTTCTGACTGAGAATATTAGGTATGGACCTCCCAGACAAAATCTTCCATTTTATCACCTTTAAAAATTGATAAAAGCAAGGAACACAAAATTCTGTTAATTAAAATAAAGTCCTACTATTCTTGGATAAAGAATGTCTCCATTCTAAGAGAAGAGTGAAAGATGAGTCCCAACCCCTCATTCTTCTATTTTTGTTCTAGCGTCAGGGCAGAGCCAAGAGGAGGAGGAAAGGTGGGACTCTGAAAGGTAAGGTTCTGCCTATTCCACCTGAGCTCTCCAAGGGTGACCCTTCCTGTCCTGTCCATGATGGCTCAGGTCCATGATCTCTGAGGAGGTCAGCTGCTAGATACAGTCCCTCTTAGGAAACAGAGGCCTCAGAGCAGTCAGAACCTGAGACCCTTAGAGTCCCTGCTCTGCCCATCCTTGAGCATGAAGCATTGTTGAGCCTGGGCAGTGGGTGTTGCCCAATAGGTGGCTGTGTGAGATGTCAAGAGGCAGAACTTCTGTCTCCTGAGTTTGTGAAAACCTTGTGACATCATGGATACTCAGGATTCTTCCCTGAGGTAACCACTGACCTCTGTGCTTCACAGAGGTGGTCTGAGTATCACATGAGATAATTTACATGCGAGTACTTTATCCATGAAGCAAGAATACTAACCAGGATCACATCATTGACCATTTGACCTCATCTATTGATTATTGGGGCTTTCAGAGTCTAACATCCCATGGGTGTCCCAAAAGGGGACTCCTGTACTAATACTTACGTTTCTACTTTCACTACATATATCCCATTCTCCCGGTTTCCCAGACTACAGATGCTACCAGAGAGAAGTGGAGGAAGCCAGGAAGCTGATCTCTGTTTTAAGAAGGTGACCAGTCTTTCCCCTTCTATCCTGATCCCTCTTAGAGTACGTTTTATGCAAGTGCAGGATTCAATGCAGCCTGCTAGAGCCATGGGAGGGGGTAGCCATAGGAACAGGTATTGGGGTGAAGGCTACCGAGTACATTGTGAAGTCATAAAGGTGGGGCATTGGGAAGGGGCAGCAGGCTTCAGGTGGCCCCTCCCTTGCCGGGCCAGCCTGTCCCCCTTCCCTTGTTCTGATCCTGGCTGCAGCTTTGTACCTCCTGTCTCCTGCAGCCCAGTAGGCCGGCATCATGATACCATCTCCTTTCATCAACTGCTATGCCCAGACCCCTCCTGTGAGGTGTGTAATAGAACAACTGCTGACATCAATCGGCTGCTGTTCCCGGAGGCC